AAACCAGAGTGGTGGTGACTCCACGGCATTCATGCTGCACACAGACACATCCACAGTGACCCACTGCGCTCGTGGTTCAAAAGTGCACGGGGCAGTCTTCTACGTCCATAGTTGGGAGGCAGGAAGCTTTGGCTAGCTCCGGACTAGAGGAGACCGCAGGTTAGGGAACGGTTTGCGAGCTTCGCAGTCCGAAGTACAAAACAGCAAAGTCTGGAGACCTCAAACATTAACTAGTAACCTTAGACATGTCTCTAAACCTTCAAGCACAATCCATGAGTCCAAAAGTTGACAAGATTTCCGATACCCTAAATGAACATAGTAAGTTGCAGCCAGGGTCAGAAACCAAGCCGAGGTCTTCGACCTCCGTCTCCCGCACAAGCCTTGGCTCTCCATCGGAGGGCTCAGGAAGTTTTTAGGGATTTCTCATGGGGTTGGGGTTCAGGGGATTTCTTAGGGGGTTGGGGTTCAGGGACTTGAGGTGAACATGCATAAGGGCCGTGCTACCTTTTGAAGGCACATGCTCTCTCCCCTGCTACGAGTATCATTGAACCAGTGATGTCTGTTTCTACTACTATCCTCGTTACTGCTACCGTCATGAGCTTACCTATCTAGTTTTCCAACTGTCGTCAACCATGAAAGCAAACACTGTTCTGTGCAACTGTCATTAAACTCGATCCTGACGAATCGTCTTCGTTTACTTGTTGCTGTTGCTGGCTGGTGGCATCGAGGGTCTTATGGGCATGGGACTTCGGACGGCAGTTGCTCTCGTACAGCTCTGTCATTGTTGGGATCACGTCAATGGGGGTGGTCTGCATTCGATTCTTGGGGGCTCTCCGAAAACCAAACTCAGGAAGAGGGTACCTCGGAGAGCACACAAAATTTCGAAGAACCCTGCAACTCAGCGGGTGTGGAATGTGGCCAATCCCTCCCTTCGTGAGCTGTGCAACAGCGAGCATGCAAGCCCGTCCGCCACTTCTAGTCTTGATCCGGTCGTGAATACCCAAAAGGCTCATGAGCATACACCTAGCAAAAGAACGGGACGACCACCACGACGGAACGGCGATCACGGCCCCAGACCCATGGGTTTTTGGAGGGCCTAGGCCCTAAACCCCGGAACCGCGAAGCGCTATACCATACTATACCATAGTATGCTATACTATACTATACTATGCTATACTATACTATACTAGACTATGCTATACTCAACTATACTCTACTTTCCTCTACTATACTCTACTATACTTTAACCCCCTGAGCGCAAATCCAAGCAGCACTGAATCCCAAAAGGCTCAGAGCCGACACCCCCCTGGTCCATGCCAGCAAACCCCAGCTAAGCTAAGGCCTCTGTGTTATACTGTTTAGGGTTTAGGGTTAGGGGTTTAGGGGTTTAGGGATTTAAGGCACTATATTCTACTACATGATACTATATGATACTGTGTTGTTTGAACCGGTCGGGGCATAGAGAAACCGAAACAAACTGGTACAAAGCCCTCAACGCCACGCTGAGCTCGGGGCCGCAACGCCTTCATCAAGCTCGCCTTCCAGAAAGCAGTATGATGTAGTATCGCATGGTATATTATAGTACAGTATGATATAGTATGGTATGGTATAATTAATGCAGCGTAATACGGTACAATGTAGCATAGTATAGCAAAGTGTAGTATAGTGTTGTAAGTGTAGTATCGTATGGTATGGTATAGTATGGTATGGTCTAGTTAGTGTAGTATAGTATAGTGAAGTATAACCGAGTATAATGAAATGGAATATCGTATTATTGCAATATAGTGTACTACAGTCGAACCTAGTATAATATAACATGGTATTATAGAATATAGTGCAGTATAGTATGGCATAGTAGAAACTACACAGAGCCAGTTCGCCTGAGCGGTTTGTAGATGTGTCCTGAGTGGGGCAGTTCCGCTGCCAAACCGCATGCCTTGCCTACAAAGACTCACGGTGTTGGCCGAACTTCTAAGAAGATTAGGTAGGCCCTAAAGTAGGGGACTGAATAATTAGAATAGGGTTTTGGAGGTTGCTAATTACAGCTATAGTACAATGGGCCCCAAAACCCAATTCTCATTATTAAGGCCTCTACATAAGTGCGACCTGAAAAGCGCGGACCTGTAGAGAGTTGTCAAAGGAAGTGGGCGAGGCTGGGTTCGGGGTGGCAGGTCCCAGAGAACCCAACACCCCTTAATTAAGGAATATACCTTAAATTATATGGGCCCTATAGTATTATGATTTAAGGTATATTCCTTAAATTAAGGGGTATTGGGTTCTCTGAGGTGCCCAAAGTGTAGGAGATGGAGCCCTGAAGTGACACGGAGCCCCACAAACTCTCGGGAGGGCGTAGATACGTTACTTGCTGATGCTGTCGGCTCGTTCATTGCGGACCGAAAGGAGGTGATCATCTGCAGTGTGTTCATGGTAGAAAGAGCCAGATGTTCGAGAAATGATATAACCGAAGACACAAGCATACGCCAACGCATAATTCTCTAGACTTTCCTACGAAACTCCAAAAGCCAAGCGCAAGCGGAACGATCCCTCGTGCCCCTCCAGGCCTGATCCATAGTAGCGGACACACCGCACCATTTCAGCAAGGCCAAGACCCGCCTGAGAGGACGGTGACTTGGGCTTTTAAGACATGTGGGAAGTCACCGAGGCTGCCCATGGTTCGGGAAGATGACATAGTTTCAGGAGTGAAGTGTAGCAGCGTAAGAGGCAAGTTGTTGCAACAAGCTTGGTAAAGATAAAAGATAATGGCCAGCCATTGTGCCACTGGCATAACCATAGACTACGCATGGATATCGGCAGGTGAGGCCCATGAACACAAAAGAAACAGTGACACTCTGCTGCTCAGAAGGGCGCGGCTGCTTTTGACAACATTTCATAATCGGTCGTTGCTGCTCCAAAGATTAGATTAGGGTTTTGGGGCCCATCATACCGTATTTATAACATGGAACCCCCAAAATGGTATTGGTAATTATTGAGGCCCCCTATATTAATGACTTCGGGCCTCGCAAGTGGACTTGGAAAGCTGACTGCAGTAGCTTTCGCAGCAAATTGCTGTCCAGCAGCGGATCATCCGGGAGGGAATCCATGTAAGGCAGATAGCAGCCAGCAGTACCATGAAACACCTGCAAAGTTCACGTCTGTAAACCATGAAGCTTGTAAGGCTAAAGACTCTCAAACCAAACACAGCGAAGCCTGAATTGCTTGCCTGAACTGCTCGCAAGGGACAGGCAACAACTTAGGGTGTTCTGTCCACCCGCTGAGAAAATTTTATCTCGACGATGATGAGGTCGACATGTCGATAGTAATTATAAGGATAGCAGATAGCGCTGTTGGTGGCGCTGGGTGACGAAGAGAACTCGATGATTATGCATGATGCTCCTGCTAGGACTATAACTGTGATTCTGAGCAGCGCGCTGCTTCAGCGCAGCATTTTACACGTCGGGCCTCTTTGACGAAAAGGTCCTGAAGTACCAGCTGACGCCCCGCATCGTAAGAGGCACTCCTGCAGATGGGTCGTTCTTTAATTCATGGGCAAAGGTCGGACATGGCTTTTCATGGACTCCACAACAGCTGCGATCCCTAGTGAAAGTACTAATTTTGTCCCGGTATGTCTAAGCCCACGGAGCCTGGAGCCTTTGGGTAGGGAACCACCAGGCTACAGCCGTCAACAATCCGTCCCCGAAGTCCTGATAGCTGAATCAGGAAACACCTCTGTGCGTGTGCATGAAGAGCTGCGCATTTATCAGTTTGTCTAGCTTGGCTGCATCTGTGCGCAGAGATATTGATATGTGTGCATACATAAACACACACAAACAGAAACATCTACTTTCCCTCTGTATATATATATATATATATATATATGTACACATGTATAAACAGATAGTGCATCCTGTATCTTGTTCAGCATGCATAAGTGTCAGTATCACATATGAAGCTATAGTATACATGTAGGGACATCTGTAAGTATGCAATGTGTTGTTATGCCATGCAATGCAATGCAATGCAATGTGATGCAATGTAATGTGCCGTAACTCATACGTGTGTGTGGGTCGTGGGTAGGTCGGTAGGTAGGCAGGCAGGTAGGTAGGTTGGCAGGTGGGTAGGTACGTGTGTGTGGCAGGTAGTGGGTAGGTCGGTAGGTAGGCAGGCAGGCAGGCAGGCAGGCAGGCAGGCAGGCAGGTAGGTAGGTAGGTAGGTGTAGGTAGGTAGGCAGGTAGGTATGGGCATGTTGTAGACATGATAAACAGACAGAAGGATAATTAGATGGGTATACAGCTAAGTAGGCAGGCAGGTAGGTAGGTAGATTTAGAGGTACAGAGGTAGGTAGATAGACAGGTAGATAGATAGACAAACCGGGTTAAGTTACTTTGCATGACATAGCCACCCACCCACCCACCTGCCTGCCTGCCTACCTACCTACCTGCCGACCTACCTACCTGCCTGCCTGCCTGCCTGCCTGCCTGCCTACCTACCTACCTACCTACCTACCTACCTACCTACCTACCTACCTACTGTCGATCTCTCTGGCTCTCCATCTATCTATCTACTGCCTATCTATCTACCTATCAATCTATGTAACTCTCTATCGCTTTATCTTTAGATCCATTATTCAACTATCGTGCATGTACAGGCCTATGTCGATGTGTCGCATGCAGATGAATAGACAGGTAAACAGACAAACAGATAGATAGACAGACAAACCGACAAACAAACGAAGACCGCGAGATAGCTAGCGGCTGGACGAGTACATGCACGATGTCTAGGGTATCGTTGGCTCTGTAACACTATGCGTACCTGCCGGAAGACTGCGTTTTGCTTCGCTAGAAGTACGGAGAGACGGACCGGGCCAGACACAGAGAGAGAGAGAGAGCAAGAGCCAGTTAAGAAGAAACACAACAGAAGAGTGACGACCGAAGAAAGAACGACGGCGCCATGCCCAGACACGTGCAACAGCTTGAAACACTTCCCCTACCCCACTGCCGCTCCGCACTGCGAGGCGCCGCAGGAAGCCTCGACGAAGGCGGGCTGCCTCCGAGAAATGTCCTGGCCAGATTTTCTTGGAGGGTTAACAAAAGTCTCCATTGTAGTTCCATTTTTTGGTTCAACTAATTTTATATTTAGGATCCTGTAAAGGAACCCCCAAAAGGAACTAGAATGGAGACTATAGATAAGGTTAGGGAGCAGCCGGGTCGGTTGGGGGCTGAGGGTGTTGGGGGGCCTAGACTCCTCGGGTCAGGATGTAGGTCGATTCAGCTTGGGAGCACGAGGGTTGGGCTTTAAGACGAATCGTGCATCTCGATACCAGATGAGTCAGGGTAGGGTTTAGGGTTTAGGGTAGGATTCGAATGTCTCTCTGCTGTATAGGTAGACTTTGGCAGCCTCTGTCGCTCACGCACCGGGCAGCTCCACAAGCACAAGTGGGCACCCCACCTAACATCATCACATCGGCCAGGTATGCCAAGCCAGTCGGCTTGCCTGAAGACGGACTCAGGTATTCGGCACGGAATAAAGCTTTAAGAAGCGGATGCCGCCATGCAGTCATAACCAGACAGGAATGTAGTAGCTTGCTGCTGGAATTATGCTACTCATATACAAAGCATAGCAAGAGAAACTTGGAGCAACACAGCACAAGAACAAGAGAATCAACGACCGCTTCAAGGTAATAGACAAGCAGTGGTTGCACCGACACAGCAGCTTCGCACCAGAGCACAATGCAGGACAAACTTGAAAGATATGCAAACACGGCTGAAGCAAAACTGTGCGACGCCAACCCAAGAATAGCGTAAGGCTCGAATGCCAGAACATACATCAGCAATCGTATCGTGGCGAAACGTCTGCTTTCGTTTCGCCGGGTCGCAATGACCACCTCGTAAGGCTCCCATAGCCGGGTGAGATGATGATAGCATAGCCGTGGAGTAGATTAGTAGGCCGCTACAGCTATAACATGACAGCGTGACTTGCAGGTGGATGAGAGACTATTGACTATTCGAACCGGTTGCATGCTGCTCATGTCTTCCGTGCTGGACACTCAAGTCCTACATCGAAAGCCCAAGTACTCCTCAATGTCCGGAGGTGGTATCGTAGCATTCTTACCACGAGGACATGAGGACTCCCCAAATCAGGTACATCTAAACCCCAAACCCTAAACCC